AAGGGTTAGAGACATCTCTTACTTTGTTGTAACCCAGGAGAGCCAGACTAACAGAGCAGCTATGCTGGAAGCCAGATTAGCCTCAGCACCAGGGCTCTGGCTGGTCAGGGCAGGCCAGCGTCTGCATGTGCAGCTCAGGGCAGATCAGGTCTCAGCTCAGAGGGGAGGGCAGCAGGGGTGGGGAGCCTAACAGAGGTCACGTCCATCCCAGCGGCGTTCCCACGCAGCCCTGCTCCCGCCTTTGCATCCTTTCTGGGAGAGGAAGGGAGGGCAGCAGACCTGTACCCCCCGAACTGTTGTTGAAGCCCAGCAGGACAGCCATTATTTTTGTCTCATCCCCATTCAAAAAGCACACAGCCCTCTGAAACCTTGTCCCCTCGGAGCACAGCCAAACGCTTCTGTCACTGCGTGCTGAATCGGCACGGAGGTTTGGGGTGGGAAGGGAGGGAGCCCAGACTCCAGGAGCCTGCCACGTGGCCTCTCGCCCCAGGATGTCTCCTGGCCTGGAGCCTGTCCGTCTGGCTCCATGCAACCGAATCCCCCTGCTCCGGGTCTCCTAAGGTTTGAACAGCCCCTTTGCTGACAGCTGGCCAGGGAACGTGCTGCGGTTGTTGCTGGTTGGGCTGGCCTCACGCGACCCTTCCTCTCCTGCTCTCATTTTCATGGGCTTCTGCTCAGGTGGCCCCACTCTGACCCAGCAAAAACCCCTCTCCAGGAGCACATGGTGGTGGGGATGCAGCTTGGTTTACACGGAGCAGGCAGCTGGGAGGAAAGGCCTAGATGTTTTTCCTGGAAACCACGAACATTTTTGAGCATGGGGAGAACTCCTGGCAGAGGCAGGTTGGGGTGCTGAAACCACCCCCTGCCTGCACAGCACCCATTGGGGATGGCAGGAGTCCTTCCTTGGCCATGTTTGACTCCAAGGTCATTGTAAGGGAAGGGCTTTGTGAGAAATGCAACCACCCACATGCAGCTGTGAAGCCACAAAAGAAGCTGCAAGAGATATGGTGAGCTGCAGCCTTGCAATGGGACCCAGTAGGACCCTGGCTTTTGGCTGGACACTGTCCAAGTGTTAGCTCTGCTCTGCATCACTGAATCTCAGGCTGTCTTGCACAAGGGCATTGCCTGCCAGCTGGCCAAGAACAGAGTCGTGTCGGCAAACCCTAGGTCCCTGCCTGGGTGGAGGGACGATAGGGTTGTCTCTGTGGAGAGCAGAGATAGGAGAAATGGGCTTCTGGTCTGGAACCCCTCTTTTTTTTCCTCCTCCCTTGTCTGGTTGCAGACGCTCCTGCCCGCAGCCAGCCTCCTGCAGCTCAACGGGGTGCGGGATGCATGTTGCAAGTTCCTCCAGCTGAACTCCTCCAACGGCCTGGGCATCCGGGGCTTTGCCGACACACACTCCTGCAGCGATTTGCTCAAATCAGCCCACAAGTACGTCCTCCAGCACTTTGTGGAGGTGTCCAAGACGGAGGAGTTCATGCTGCTGCCACTCAAGCAGGTAGGAGGAGTTCTTACCCACACCTTGAGCTGACCCCCTACACAGCCTCTGCTTCCACGCCTCCAGCTGCACAGTCTCACCTGGGGTCTGTATGATTGTATCCTGCCCTGCCCCATGTGCTTCAGCCTGAGTGGGAGCTAGTTTTCCTTTTATGCTGGGCAAGTTTCCACCTCCACTCCACCCTCCTGTGGACCTTTTTGGATGAGCAATTGCCCGTGACTGCAGGAGACTGCATTCAGTGGTCCAGGAGATCCCTTTCCATCCTGTGTCCCACCAAGCCTGTTGCAGGCTCCCTCCTACCCATTTCCCCAGTAGTGCAGACTGGGGGCCAGTGGTGAGCTCACCCCATGTGCGGCTGCTGCCGTCTCAGGCAGTCGGGGCTGCTCTGTGCACTTAGCTGTGATGTTTAATTCAAAGCTCAGCTTGTGTTTCCTGCAGCTTTTGACACAGTGCCAGCCTGGCCCCTGGCGTGACAGTCCCCGGGGAGCAGCTTGTGGCATGTTCAGGGTGGTCTTTTCTGCCCTCTCTGCTGCACACAGAGCCAGCCCAGCTCCCCAACCCTATCTCAGGGTCCAGATGCCCCCCACCCCATGCCTGGCAGCAGGAGGCCTGGGGGCAGCTGGGGGCTGCCTTCCCACCTGCTCCATCTCCATCATCCCCAGCAGGTGAAGTTGGCTCATCTTTGCTGTGAGGCCCAGAGCAGCTGAGGTGGCTGCTTCCAGTGCATGAAATATTGAAGGGGGCGGCCGGCGCACGAGCTGGGCCTGTCTGTCTGATCTTGCTGAGCCTCATCGGAAGTGACAGCCGCGGCAGCAGCTTTGGCGGGGGTGCGGGAAGGAGGGGGTGCCGGCGGGGGTTGGCGTCCGCGGGGCTCTCTTTTCACAGCAGGGCTGTGAGCACGGGCGCTGCCAGGGAAGAGAGGGCCATCTGGTCCCTGCTGACGTAGCTCCCAAGCGGAAGGAGAGCTCCCGGTAGGGGTACCCCTCTCCCAAAGCGTGGGTCCTGTACGTGGTACAGGCAAGCCAAGGAAATGCACTGCCAGTCTTGCTGTCAGAGGAGGTGGGGTTGGTCCTACAGCGAGGGGCTGGCAGCATTTCATGCCAGCTTTTCAGAGTCTTATATGAGTGTTTCCACAGGCCCGGCTCCCTACAGATGGAGCCTCATTATGTCCTTACGGTGTCTCTTTTTGTAGCAACACCCTCACCCGCTACCTGCTCTCCATCCTCTGCTGACTAGAGTATCCCACCAGGGAGGAGGCAGTAAAGGGCTCCCGCACCTAAGACTAATATTAAGGGGAGTCTGCTGCTAAAGCATTGCAACCTAAGTGGGGAGAGCAGGCAAAAGGGGTGGTTTGGAGAAAGCAGGCTCAGGCTGGCCTGCGGACTGCACCTTGGAGGGTGCTGGCTGGTTAAAGGGCTGAGATGCTTGGACTCTGGTCCTGGGGCTTGCTTGAATGGGAGCTGGACACAGCCAGGAAGAACAACACCAGGTCTCTTGCTGGGGAGGAGGCCAAGAGGTTTGGGCAAAGCCCCCGCTAGGGTTTGTTCTCAGGCTGCAGAGGTAGTCCTTGGAACAGCACAGCGGCCTTCTCTCTCACCTTCGCCCCTTCCACTTTGCACTGTGCTGAGCTTTGAAGCAACAGTCACCCCAAAGGAAAGTAAAGCCAAGGATTCTCCTTGCAGCAGCAGGGCTCTGAGTCTCACAAGAGTCTCACCGCCGCTTTGGGACAAAGCCAGCGGGAGGGGAGTGTGAGTTCCACGTTGTGGGTCTCGTGCTCCTGTCACACTGGTGTGAATCAGGAGTGAGTCTCATGTGATCCACAGCAGTGCAGCCTGGCCCTGTAACTCCCTGCAACAGCATGTGCCAGCTGCAGAGCAAGCCTGAACCAGGGATTCCCCTCTGGGGGGCACTGGGGAGGTAGGTTGCTTTCACCACTTTCCCCATTTTACTGATGGGGAAATTGAGGCAGGGGCTTTCAGCATGTGCAGCCCAGCAGTGTGTGTGTGTGTGTGTGTGTGTGTGTGTGTGTGTGTGTGTATGGGTATGTCCCTGTCCCCTCAACTAGTGAGAGCTGCACTGAGCTGCCTTCTCCATTCACCCCTGCAGGTGCTGGACCTTGTTTCTAGCGACAGCCTCAACGTGCCCTCAGAGGAAGAAGTGTACCGGGCTGTGCTCAGCTGGGTCAAACATGATGTGGACAGCAGGAGGCAGCACGTTCCCAGGGTATGTGGATTGGCCTGGGGGCCTGGGCCATCATGAGGATGGGGTACCACGGGGTGGTGGGGTGGGCCAGGCTCCAACTTGTTGGCTGGACTGTTTTTATCAGCTCTGAGAAGCTTTGTTCTGGTTACATATGAGTTTGGCCAAAGCTAGACCCCCCTTGGACTCCACGCTCACAAATTTCTGATTACAAATTGCTGCCTGAAGTCCAGCTTGTAGGTGAGTGCGGGGTTCACATACCCCACCGGTAGGGCTGGAGTTCTGTTAGAGACCATCACCCACTGCTTGAGCCTCTTGCACTTGTGTGTGGATTTGAACCTCCTAGCAGTCCTGTGAGGTAGAGAGCCATTATCACGTGGGGATCTGGACATGGGGCAGATTGAATGATGTGCCCAAGTGCATGCAGGAAATCTGTGACAGAGGCAGGACTTAAATGCACCTTCCTGAGGTCTAATCCAGTGTGTTACCCATTCAACAGCCTTCTTGCATGTTCAGAGGAAAGCAATACTTTGTGTTGCTTTCATCCCCTCTGGTGGGAGATCTCTAAATTCCCCCTATTAGAGGAGGCTCACAAACCTGCCTGCCCTGTCAGTGCCACTACTCCCATCTCACAGATAGGGAGACTGAGGCGTGGAGGGTTATGACCTGCTTGAGGGCATAGGCTGAATTGGTAGCAGAGGGGGAGATGTGAGCAGAAGTGCTGGCCTTTCCGGTGGACTCCCTGCTCGACAGGACTGGGCTTTCAGGTTTGTTCTCAAAAGCCAAACATCTGGCAAATGTATTTGGAGCGGGGTTTCCCTTTATCTGGTCTCTGATCTCAGTACTTCTGTGTTCTGGAGCTGCATACCCGCAGGCCTGCCACCTGCCTAAGGGAGAAGACAGCACAGCAATCATCAACCCTCCACCTCGCAAGGGCTCTTCCCAGCCCGGCTCCAGACTGGGGCTGCAGGCTCTCAGCGAGCCCTGGGCCCCCTCTCGTGGATGTGAGCTGCATTGCAAACAAGGCTATGAGCTTCTATTAATTAGGGGACATGGTATCCCTAAGTGCCCCAGCTCCTGGGACCTGTCAGTTTGTTCTCATGGCTTCAGTACCAGGCCTGCGAGGAACTCAGCTGTGAGACTGCAGAGGAAAAAGGAGAGGATGTTAATCCAGGGCACACACACCGCCTTGGGGCTCTGGGGCAGGATGTTTGCAGATGCACAAAGGTCTCTGCTGGGGGGCGGCTGGAAGGCCAGTGGGAGATTCTTCTGTGACCTCCGTAACCTAGACTCAGGCCCTGGCTTTGCTTCCAAGGTCCCATTGAGTAGCATACCCTCAAACCCCTTGCACATTGGGCATTGCTGGCAACTGCAAGAGCACTGGTGCCCAGTAACTCCCATGGCTCAGTTCTGACCTAGCAGTCCCCCTCTGAGACTTTCTACCTTTGCCATCGTACAGATGATCTCAGGCAGGTAGCCCTCTGCTTCTGAGCCACGTCCCAGTGGAGGGGAACATGGCTAAGGTCAAGCCAGCAGTCGGCTTCTTGCTGAAGGAGCTGCACTGGCACCTGGAACAGGGTGTGGGCACCAGTGGATAACGGGGACTGGGATTTGGGAGCAGCTGTGAGATGTGTGCTGTTGTCAGACCAGTGGGAGGCATCTCTCCAGGCTCTGTAAAGGCAGGGAAAGCTTGTATGAAGCTGCCCACACACCTGCCTTTCCAGGGGGAGGGGGAGTAGAGGCAAGAGGGGGGTCCCAGGACTCTTTGGGTTGGGAGGGAAGAGCTGGTGTGGAGCAAGGAAGGCATCAGGTCTCTCTTGCCTTCTCATTGCCCTCAGCCCCAGCCTAACCCTTCCCTCCCCACAGCTCATGAAGTGTGTCCGGTTGCCCTTGCTGAGCCGCGACTTCCTGATGAGCAATGTGGACACGGAGCTCCTGGTCCGGCACCATTCGGAGTGCAAGGACCTGTTGATCGAGGCCCTTAAGTACCACCTCATGCCGGAGCAGAGGGGGGTCCTCGGCAACAGCAGGACCAGGCCCCGGCGGTGCGAGGGGGCCAGCACAGTGCTCTTTGCTGTTGGTAAGGGACAGACATAGTGGGTGGGGGAAGAAGGCACTTGGGTTTTTTTTGCATTGGGAGGGCAAGGTGCCACTAGGGCTACCACTGGCACCTCTGAGGTCTAGTGTGCCTTATGAGTGGAGACCAGCCCAAAGCCTGGTACCATACACAGCTGGCGGCTCCAGCTCATGTGAGTGGTGGCATTTGCAAAACTCATCAAAAACTAACTCTTCCCTTCATGCGAGTGGCCCGGCCTTGAGAACAGGCAGCTGGAGGCCACCGACATGACAGATGTTCATGTTCAACAATGTCCATTGTTGGGACGTTGGGCAGAGCCCTTGCATGGGCCTGTCCCTGCTCACACTCTCTCACCCACCGCCATGCACACTCTCCCACCATTCACTCACTCCACTGGTGCTTCCTGCATGCAGGTGGGGGGAGCCTTTTCGCCATCCACGGAGACTGCGAGGCCTATGACACGCGGACGGACCGGTGGCACATGGTGGCCTCCATGTCCACCCGGAGGGCCAGGGTGGGCGTCGCTGCCATCGGAAACAAGCTGTACGCCGTGGGCGGGTAAGATCCTGCCCACCAAGAGTGTCCGCGTTGCCCATGATGGACCCTGAGCTGGGGCTGAGAGGGAGCCTGGGCACAGGGATGTCACAACACAGACTTAGGGCGAGGGGACATCTGTGGTTGAACTTGGCTGTGGAGGGGTGGGAGATTTGTGAGGGGCTAGGAACCTCTTGCCACTGCCTTGCTGGTTCAGCTTCAGCCCAGAGGAGCTGCCCCATTCTACCAGCTGCCCACTGCAGCGAGTTTGCTGGCTCTCTGCCCTGCGGTGGCTTGGGCTCTCATGGGTGCCAGTCCTTAGCAGCCTCCGTAGAGCAGCCAGTAGTTGCTGAACAGAAGTTGCCTTGGCCCGGCATGGCATGTCACCTTATGCCATGACTAGATCAGAGGTGTGTTGGTTGGCAAAGCTGCTCTGGCTGTGCCCGCTTTGGGGATGTGGGCAGCACAGACCTCCCCAGGAGCTGGGCCCACCATAACTGTGGCTCTGCCTGGGTCTGAAACAAGGGCAAGAGTCAGGCTGCATCTGGCATGGGCACTGCCCTAAGGCCACGCAGTGCCCGGTCTGAAAGCTGTAGCAGGAACCAGGGCCCTCAACCCTGCCCCTTAGGTGCCACTTTAGTGCTTCGTAGGACCCCAGGCTCCAGATGCTCTCTGTCTCCCTGCAGCTATGATGGGACCTCGGACTTGGCCACCGTGGAGTCATATGACCCAGTGACCAACTCCTGGCAGCCGGAGGTGTCCATGGGCACCCGGCGGAGCTGCCTGGGTGTGGCAGCACTCCACGGGCTCCTGTACGCCGCAGGGGGTTACGACGGAGCCTCCTGTCTGAACAGGTAGGGGGGTTTGGTGGCATATGCTCTTTCC